GCTCGAGTGCAAAGGGTTAATTTTATACCTCTCCTAAAATTGTCCTTTTCACTTCCTTGTACACAAGGGCCCACCAGCGGCCGAACGGTAAAGTCGCTAAACACTGGTAGTTCGATCAGAGGTTCGAATCCCGCGAACGGGCTGGCAGCATGGGCGTTTTCGTGGTTTTCCCTGTGTATACGAGCCAGTTTCCGTTAGAAAGTCCTCCACGAAGGCATCCCTCCTCTTACGCAGATAGCCCTCGAGGCTTTGCCATAACCACATAAAAAAACTTGTACAAAATTAATGAAGTATTGTAATTTTGAAAAATTTCGGATATCATATTTTAACGGAAATATCCTTTTTCACCGTTTCCGAATCCATTTGAAAGATTTTTTTTTTTTTTTTGAGCATCTGAAAGCACGGAAAAAAATAAAGGACTCCTGTTTTTTCCAAAACGGATCGTAAAATGGATTAAAAAAGAGAGCTTTCAGTGACGTCTATACGTACGTTACGTTCGTATCTGTCTCGCATAACTCAAGAACGATTCCCCGTAGAATGTAGCAATTTTGTAATGTGGCTGCTATAATATCTAGTTGTGCACCTTCCCTTTTTTATTCCAACCGGCAATACCACACGTACATCCTTCCTGAAACAGTTTAAAAGTCCGTAACCGGCCCTTATTTTCGCAAGGAAGACGTTTGACTTCCGACCTACAAAAATCAACCGGGATATTTACCTTAAAAATTTGCAGTTTTTGATGTCGTTTACAACTTGCCTAGAAGGATCGGTTAACCCTTTACGGCATAGTGTGTCCGGTCTAGACACACCTAAAAATTTCCTTCTGTACGCACAGAAACATTGAATGAAAAAGGATTTATAAGTTACTATAGGTTACTCTGAACCTTCTTTATTTATAGTAGTTCGCAGCTCAACACAAACCAGTCCATATATTTTAGCCATGTTTAGTTTTTTAAGACCCTCATTTTTCAAAGAAACCATCCAGATTTTTTTTATGGTATAAAAGGAATTGTTTGGAAAGAAATTTCTATGTTATTTTTTGGCTGTATGCTAATCTCCTTATTCTATATCAGTTTTAAATTTTTACCTTGAAATCTTGCCTAAAATCAAACGGCGAACTCTAGGTGTGCCCAGACCGGGCTCACCGATCATCTAGGACTACGGAGAGTTTGTATTCTTTGTTTCTCCGCATCTCATCGGTCAGTTCATTGACAATAATACTCGTTTCAGCACTCTTTTCGAAGCTCTATTCAATCAGTGTGCCCTCTTTGGGAACACCCACAGAAATAAACGATAAGTGTTATCTTCACAAAATTGTACTTGTGTACTCCTCTAGGCCTAATTAAACTGCCTACCTTTCTTTCTTTCTTTCTTTTTTTTTTTTTTTTAAATCAAAACTCCGACTTTAAAAGGTAGCGTGCCGGAAAGGGTTAATTAATTTAGAATCATTTGAAAAAATAAGGTTAAAAGAAATACGGCAAAAAAATTGTATAATTTAATAGGCCGTATTTACTGGAGTAAGTCATGCTCCACTTGCTTACTCTTGTCCAGGCTTTCTTATTTTATCTAATCATTATTTCCTATCTTGTTCATTCGCGGTTTTGCAGCTGAAGATGGTGGTTCGGTAAAACCATCGAAACTAGTCCTGTGAAAATTTTGTAAATATAACGCTGATTTTTGTTGTTTGACTTCTGAATTAGTATCTCGGAGTATGTTTATTGTTTTCACTTTGTCATAAAGTGAACGAGACGTTATCAGTTGGCGATGTATAAGAACTTTCATTTGTCTTTAATATAAGTGCATTTCTCTCTGCAACAAGGTTAGTTGCCATTTGAAAAATGATTTTACATGGACTACATATATATATTATATATTATCTATCCTGTGAGTATCATAAATAAAATGCTTCTCTAATGCCATTATAACTCTTCTTCTAATGCCATTATAATTTGTCGATTTCAAAATTTATGACTCTACGTTTTATGTCTACTGTTACCATAAATTTTATAACAACCTACTGAGTGAAAGTATTCATATACAGTTTAGCTTTTCAGTTTTGTTCAGAATGGTAACGTTTTGCAATGTTCAGGTATTTTTTTAATATATTTTACTATCATAAGATTTTAATTTTTTCCTTTCCTCGTTTCGAAGGCAATTTTTTTAATGTTTTTAAAAATTTTGTTTCAACTTAGTTAATGTTAGTAGATACTTATTTAATGATATTATTTTCATTTACGGAAAGCAATGAAATATTTGAATGGTATTCTATATTTTTACACTTCTTAATGTTAAATACTTTTGCGGTAATTGTAATTTAAGATTTTAAATTGAAAGAAATATTTTATTTTTGTTTTTTATAATAAATTGGCAAGAGAGCAATTATAAAATACTTACAGTAGACTCGTTATTAGACGAGAGGTTCTTTTAATGTTCTTTTAATTACATCAAAAACAATATAATTGCGCATACATTTTGAATCTGATATGCTATTTTACTGGAGTAAGACTTTTTTATCATTTATTAAATAATAAACTATAAGAATATTTACAATAAGGAAAATCCTAGAATATGCCTGTTCTAAGAATATTCTAAGAACATATATCATGTTAGAATAATGAATTAATGAACTGAAATTCATTGAAATCGAAATAAATTTCCTAATACTTGCGCAATAGCTGCAAAGTAAGAAAATAATAATTTATTTATTAAAGGTTGATTATATTACCTCCTAATATAAATTTAGTAGAATGTATCTAAATGAAGTAACCCAGAAGCATGAAATTTAATTCCGAAAATAATATTTTTAAAGGAACTTTAATCTAACTCATGATAAATAGAAATGCAAGCTTTTAATATAAAAATTAATAAACTAAGTAATTATCGCCATTGATCGGAAATTGATTGACTTTTTAAGGGAAACAAACTAGCCTCCGTTCATTAACAATAATTAATAAATGCAAATGTCAAAATCGTAAAAAACAACCTTATATTTAGCGTAGGTATAATGAAACACTCAATCGATTTCGAGGGCAGCTAAAGGTCCCTCCTCATCAGGAGAAAGAAATACATAGAAAGAAGAAAATAGAGGGAAGGAGTCACAGAAACACGTAGTGCCTTATCAGCACTGCACGTGGTTATAACTAGATTTTTAATCAGAGTTGCACTGGCCGCCTACTTTTACTGAGCCAGGCTGTCTGATCAAGCATAAAGAAATATTAGCGAAGTTAAAATAGGGAGCGAGGGGGGTAAATGCACCTTACGCTCAAAATCTGAACTTCAAATAATGGAAAGCAACCACTGAACGGATTTTTATACCCTCTGGTAGTACCAAGCGCGAGGAGGTAACGCCATCTATCGGCAAAAATAATTGAATTAAGATAGTAGAATTTTAAAGGCATTAGGAAGGACTGGATTGGACTTCAAATCATTAACTAAACTTTCTAAATCTTTGTGAATGTGAAAAGCCTCAAGAAAATCCAATTCGCCTATGGAAGAAGCCTTTTGGATGATTTTTGCAGACCCAAAAATCAAAATTATGGTTAAAAGTCCAGCTATGATACGCTATTGAAGACTTTTTTGACATAAGATTCATGTTCCTTGATACGAAACTTCAACGCTCTTTTTGTTTGGCCAATATATCTTAAACCACACTGACATGATATACTATAAATTCCCCAAGAATTCAGGACAGAAACGCAATCTTTTAGAATCGAAGGGTGAATTTTATTAATAGGGGAGAAACCGACTTGAAAATTGAATTTCTGGAGAATCCGTGCAATTTTATAGCTAACAGAAGGATAAAATGGAAGCACGACAAGGTCATTAATATTATTTCTAACAGTGGAATGTCTTCTTTGATGGGAATCTGAAAATTACTCTGAATTTACTCAAGTAAGAATGATGATGCCAAACTGGCAATGTTTACTTAAGGCCAAAATTGTAATCGAGCTTCAATTCAATTAGTGATATTAAGCAGATTAATTAAGATGAAATAGTTCCTTTAAATTAATGGATTTGTTAGAAATCTAGAGATATTATAGCCAAATTAAGCAGAGTATAATATATATATATATATATATCTTAGAATCTAAGTATAAGTAATTTAAATTTCTATTGTAGTAAAAGTATTTTAATAAGCTGTGTAGAAGTATTATTTTAAACCGGAAAAATTCTAAATAAAATTAAAAGTAAAATATAAAAGTACTGGATAGGTAGCCATTGTTATTGAACGTAGATTAATTATCTTGTCAAGGGTAACAAACCAATCCACTATCAATTAACAATAACCAAATTAAGTGAGAGTGTTTCGTATTTTTCCAAGTAAGGATCAAATTAGTTATTTTGCTAGCGTTAAATCATAAGCAACGAATAAAGCTCGAACATGAGAAAGATAATTAGTCTGTTTGTGCCCAGATACTTGTCATAAACAAATTCGAAAATAAAAATGAGTATGATTTTGTTCGTAATTTAAGGTACTCGTTAAGAACTGAACTAAATGAATTTTTAAATTACTCATAATTACTTGTTTACTTACTGTTAATATTCATTTATACATAATCAGACCTTGCTGCGTCAGAAATACTGGTTTAGGGGTTTTGGCATAAATTTCGAAGTTCTCAGCCTTATGCCAACTTGGTATAAGATTCGGCCAATTACAGCGAACGCGCGAAAGCAGAGAGGGAAAGTCGTAAACACATCCTCATATGCGCAAATTTAGCTTTTCTAATTGGCTACGGCTTAGACCCTGTCTCGAAGGTGTGAACGGAACTCCTGCATTTTATGCCTTTATGACATTTATACCACCATCTGAACGGAGCCGAATGGACCTGAATAATAATACGGTTAAAATTATTTTCATTTTCTCGAATATTTTCTTCTGATCGGCGATTTGGTCTTGAAATTGTATTGTTCGGATAACTGATATTAAATTTAGGATATCAACAAAGAATGATTTAACCATGGAACAAGGCTGTTATTTTGAATTATAATTTTATTTACAGGTATTAGCCATAAGCAAGATGGATATGGTAGCACCCCAGTTCGTCGGCTCATATTCCATACCCAATCAGATTGCGTCCCCTGGCGTCGCTCACAGCTACTATCCGCCCGCTACTCTGCATTATGTCAACATCGGCAGTCAGCTGGCTGGTGATTACAGATTCGGTTACGACACGGGAAAAGGACCCATGGGACAAAGTTTCAGAGAAGAGATTAGACTGGCGGATGGGACAGTCAAAGGTGAGTCAGGATTCATTATTGTCTTCAGTGTTGTTTTCAGGACAAGGAAGCGAAAAATGGAAATGTAAAATATTGTAAATACCTGGAAATTACGTAGTAATTCCCCTTCCCCAGACGAGTAATGCTAGTCGAGACGACGTAAGACGACACAAATATTTCCATAGAAGCAAATTCAGAAAGGAAAAGTCATACCGAAGAAGTGATTTTTCAAACTTACATCAATCAGTAAATAAAGGTGATAATATGCTATGTTTATCGAAAATTTTAGCACAGATAAAATTACTGAAGCTTTTACACATGAATGAGACTATTGTATTTTTCGCATGATGATTCCCATGTGTTTCACTCTTTGTATATTCCGACTGTGATTTCCAGAAATGCAGCTACTTTTAATCGTGTAGGAAGAGCAGTGAGAAGCAACAAGTTCTTGGGTCCATGCAACAAAGGATTATTGCGCTTGAGTTTTTTTTTTTTTTTTTTTTTTTACTTCCTTGTACGAAGTAAAAAGGACGTATTGTAATCGCGAAAAGTTTCAGGCAGCATATTTCAACGAAAATATCCATGCAATTTAACGATGTTTTTGCGTGATATCTGTACGTAAAGACAGAATAAAATACTCTTTTCCTTCAAAAAAATTATAAAACTGCTCTAAAATGAATTCTGAAGAGAATTTTTCGTGGCGTCTGTACGTACGTACGTATCTCGCATAACTCAAAAACGAGTAGCCTCAGAACGTTGAAATTTTGTATATAGGACTGCTATAACATGTAGATGTGCACCTCGTATTTTGGTTGCGATCGGCCGCACCAAACGTATATAAATATATTTATATATATATCCCCTCTATTACCCAGCTCAGTGATCTCAGTTTCTTTACTCTTATATGTTTGTAAATTGTACATTTTTTTTCTTTAAAAATGATTGAATTATATTGTTTTTTACCTTCCGGTTAAGGATTTTATGCCTTTAGTAAATCTGTGTGCAATATTTTTAGAATTATCAGCAATTTTAAAGTTGTTTAATGGCGGCCATTGATGTTTACATTTGAAACAGGAGACTAGTGGATTTCTTGCCAATCTAGAGAAACTTAGCCTCGCAACAACAAAGATAAACGCATTCGTTTATTATTGCCAATTAAATCATGCTTAATTCTTTCTGGAATTTTTTCGAGGAAATAAGCGTTTGAGATTTACTTCGTAATTTTTAATACAGATATTTTGAGTTTTTATGTATTTTTGCCTTCTCGCGAAGTAAGGAACTGAATTAATTAAATGAGAAATACTCAATCGTCTGTGAAAAACTGTTTATTTTTTGTTTTGTTTGCTTAATTTCTTTTATACATCGTTCTAGCTTTATTATAGTATTTGAATAGAACATGTGGCAACGATTAGATAATTCTTTAAATGATATACATTTTGTGCATTCTGAGTTATAATATGAACGAAATATAATACTGTTAAGTAAACCTAGCGCCAGAGTGTCGCTATGGTAAACAAAAGTGAATTTTAAAGAATGCACTTATTCTATTGTGGTTTATGCGCTGTCGGGGAAGTAGGTTTAATCCAATCTAATAAGTTTAAATAAAATGCAAGAAAAAATGCGTATAATTTAATATTCCGTACAAGGAAGTCATGTTGTGTACACATCAGATTTTTTCCCATGAAGGACTTTGGCCAAAATATAAAATACCTCACATTTTGATCAGGCTTCGTAAACAATGTCTATCACGGACAGTAGGTTGGAATATATTGCCGCATCCACGATATAATCCACATTTAACTTTTATTATTCCCCAGCATCATCGCAGCTGTAGCGCCTGTAACCAAGTGGTCTCTCGTGCATTTAATAACATCTTTTAGTTTAATTCGAAACACATCACGTGTACACTATATATAAAATCATTACAATAATTAGAACAAAATTTAGGATTTTTCAAAACCGGTCTTTATTGTCGACAGTATCAAAACGCACCTCTGATTAACATTATTTTTTAGTTTAACGTCTACTCACTTTTTAGTTTAACACGTACGAGGACCAGGTACTACGCCTTTTCCCTAAAATTATGGTTGGGCAGAATGTCCAAACCCATTCTGAAAGTAACATGTCTGTTGCTTATTATTCATTATTACATTTACTAATACTGGTCTGAGAATTTTTTACTTATACAAAAAAACAAATTAATGTAGCCAGCAGATCACCTCGCAATTCCAAGTTACGACATGAAATTGGCGGAATAGAAACGAGCTTTAAGTAAACTACCATTTCAATTTAGTCATTTATAAACAAAAGCTAAGTTATTTATAAATATTATGAACCAGTATTAATTATAAACACTACACTTCTTTTATTATTCTATTTCTGCCATACAGTAGACAATGATAACTATACATACTCATGTAGACATCCATTTTCATGCTCTGATTTGCAAATATCCCATCGATTATAGTATATCCTCTGGTCATGTATAATTTCGGATTCACAAATTAGACTTACCAATCAGAAAATTTTTAAAAACCGCATAACTTTAGAAGTCCTGATAAATTGCTGCCATACATTTCTTTTCATATTCGCTATATTATTTATGTGTTGTTGTTCAGTTGTGACCTATATCTCACTTATCTGACAGTAACATCCCACGAAAGATCCCACGAAATTCATCGTCGCAAGGAGTGCAAGATTGAGCCTGTCGTTGGCAAGAGCCTTGAGCATCCTTTACGAGATCCTAAATGGCGCTCAAGGAGTAGTTTACTCAAGGAGTAGTTTTAGCTACTCCATTTAGGAATAGTTTACAGCGGAATAGTTTACATTTGACTCAGTTCTGCCGACTAGTCCGAGGGTCTCCCACCCTCTTTCCCTACTCTCTAGAGATGGCTATCGGCTCGCCACATATTTAGAGTGCCCCCATGCCGCACAGACATATCCACACAGCCATTAATAAACCTCCGGGATTCCAAACCGGGTCATTTGGTACGACAGTCAGCGTCGCTAACAACAATCTCGGTTGGACAACTGCTCGGTTGCACTCAGGAGGATGAATTTAGGAGGAAACTGGGATATTACGGGATGTCCTGAGGATGTAGTAAGTAGGACTTTAAGTCCTAATAACATCCCATACGCTGTCGATGGGACATAGATAGGATGTTTTTAGGATATAATGGGATGTGTTTAGGAGGTTAGTGGGATATCCCGGGATGTCCTGAGGATGTAGTAAAGTAGGAGTTCATATCCTAATAACATCCCGCACGCTGTCGATGGGACTTAGTTAGGATGTCCTGAGGATATCCTGGGATGTGACATTAAGCACTCGGGAGTAGGTGTTTAGGAGGTTCGCGGGATATTCCGGGATGTCCTGAGGATGTGCGCATATCCCGCGAGCAACATCCTCGGGATATCCCAAGGATGTTTTTGCGCTATGTGGGTAGACAGCGCTAACATTTGGTGGCAGTATCCTTTTTTAAACGTTACTCCACACAGAAGGCAAACGAACTCAAAACTGATGCTTGAGGCTAATACATTTGATTGCTTCATGAAGAAACCTCGTCTTCATAGTGATTTTATTCTGGTTGCATTTAGCATAATTCCAAGAACACATTTAATGCTAGGAAATGTAATATGTTGTCCTCGATCACATACAACATTTAAATATCAAATTTAAGAACTTTTAATTATCTCATAATATATTTTTTTTACGAAAGTCTGTTCACAGCTCCAAGTAAAGTATCACTTCCGGTGTATCAATTTTACCCAAATTAATACGTTAATCGCATTGATATAAAAATATCAAGTATTAAAATTGAAAAGTTTTGGATTACATTTTATATAAGTTTTCAGTAAAAACTGTTACATGCTTCCTGTAAAATACAAGCTCCGGTTGTCCAGTTTTACCCAAGAATGAATCTGCATTTTATATTGTTGCGTGCTACGGATTCGTGGATTTGGAGTAATTGATGATAACACTTGAAAAAAGAATCAAAACACAATTTGTTCGTCAGTATTACACAGGACAGTTCCAAACACACGTTTACAGTCGTCGAAAAACTACGATAAACACGCTGAAACAATCAACAACACAGCCTTCAGGTTGTGTGCTTATAACGGTAAGACATAATGGTGAAGACAGTTTCATGGCAAAGCACTAAAATACAGCTCCCGACTCAGGTAATCTCTAAACTCAAAATACTCTGCTCCCAGGATAGGCAGGGTATATATAGCTTAATATAGGATATATATATATATATTGTAGAGACATTAGGTATTTTTTTGGAAGCAAGAGAGATAAAAAAAAGCAACTGCCTTCGGCGGAAATCGAACCACGGACCTCTGGAATACTGGGCCAGCGTGCATAACCACTACACCACGAAGGCACGCTAGGAAAGTGGGAGAAATACCTTATAATATATATTCTTCACTATGTATTTACTTTTGGTTTTGACTTTTACCCTTGTTTGCATGAATGACGAAACACGAATTGAATGATTGAAGAGTTAGGTTTGGAGGCAACTTCCTCTTGATAAGTCTGTCTCCTACCTGCTCAACATTCACTTATGCATTTAAAAAAAAATTAGATTAATTTTAATTTGCTAAATTGGTGAATTTATTTTCATGGTTTGTTTTTGCACTTGATTTACTTATGCTATCTGAATTTAAATGATATCGTAGATTAGTTGGAAAATTTAAATTTACTTTTTTACGTATATACATGTTTGTTAAAATTTATATATATATATATATATACCTTCCAGAATATTCACGAGAAAATCGCTAACAATGCGTTCTAGAATGTTCTTGCTCCGTCTATCGCCAATTTTGTCGGCAAATGAGCGATTTTCAAGAAATCTGACAAACTTGCCTTTTTTGCCTCTTTTTGGCAACCCTAACACCCTTTTGTGGAGAAGCTATCTTACTGCAGCTGGGCGTTTCGCAACAATATGAATGTAGAAAGCTTAAAATGGGAGAAGGAAAAGTCTTCATATGCATACCGACACACAGTCAGATAGACATCGCTGTAAAAATGGTAAAAACGTGTTATGGGGAAACAACCGATATCTGAGTTTGAAACCCAATGAAGTGGCTGTCTGTATGATGCTTTCGTGATTTTCCCTTGCGTAACACGAGTGCAAATTAGTTTCCCTAAGAACGTCCTCCATGATTGCATTCCTTCCTGACACAGTTAGCTTTTGTGTGGTTTGGATTAATCAATGACTAAATTGAAATGCAGGATAAAATACCGCTTAATAATACTAAAGGTACCATAGACCTAATGTCCATAAAAATCATTCTTATTTTTTTTTAATTCCAGGCACATACGGAATGGTCGACGAGCAAGGTCACAGACGTGTTGTTCATTACACTGCAGGAAAAGGGGGCTTCATCGCGGAAGAAGAAAAAAACTCAGCAGGGGCGGCCACAGCAACATCTCAGCCCAGATTTCTGATGCAGCAAGTATTCAACTCCGTTCCTCAACGACTAACTGCTACGATGGCACCTGTCATCAAGCCAACCAACTACCTCCAGGCCAAAGCCGCCATTGGTGCTTACGCAACACCATCACTGCTCCAAAAAAATCCTACGGAAGCAAAAGCAACCCAAACGCCGCAACAAGGTGGTGCCACGGCCGCCGAATCAGAAACTTACAAACTTCGTAGACAGAAGAAGACAGGCGTCAAATTCCAACTGGCTCAAAAGAAGAAAATTAGCGAAGAAGTGATTTACGATCCCAAAGTGGAAGATGAGTACTACGATAATGCACCAGCCTTCGTAGACATAGAAAGACTATCGTACAGTATCGGTACTGACAGAAATCCATCTCCATAAGAACTGCTAGGCAGGAACCCTCAATGAATAATATTTCACGTATATGTGCTTTAAGTTGTTACTGAAAAACGCTGCTGTAAATAATATGATGTGTAATAAAATTGTGATAATCCTGATTAACGGATGGTTCTGATTAACGCGAGAAGCGAACCTTTATTAACACTCCGAAGAAGTACTATATTGTTTTCTGTTTCCGTAACATCGCTTCCGAATACAAAATCTAAAGTCTGTGCTGAAAGTATATAGTAACAAAAATTATATTGCAAGTCCTTCTGGGAAAATCGTCCTTGAAAGGCTATTAATTTCGTTTTGGCATTTTGCGTCGTTCACTATAAAACGGCGTTTCACTTTTCAAACTGTTGCCACCAAACATTAGTGCCCTACATTATATTTAAAGAAATTAAATAAGCAAGAATTTGCATAAATGTATGTTTCTCGCATACATACATTTATGCAATTACAACGGTACCTAGAGCGGTTACCTTAAAACAACGGTACCTAGACCCATCCAATTCTGAATAGCGTAGTCCTCCACTCGAATATGGGCATCTGGAAGCCCAAATTTGGAGTTTGTTTTATTATCTGTTTCATATTTCGCAAACCTTTAACGAAATTTTGATTAACAAACTCAACAATTCCAAAGCGAACAATGGCAACGCGGTACGGAAGGAGTTGTATCTCCACCGCACGAGACTGTGTATCGGAAATTCTAAAGATATGCTCATTTGAAAATTATTTTACGATATTGCTGTTGAGTTGAATTTTATCGTTTAAGTGCGAAGAACGTGATATTTAATAAATAAAGGTAACACACAAAACGTTAAAAAAGTTCCTTTGGGCGTAATATAAAATCTGAAAGCTGTTAGATTTTTTAAAATTAATTAATTTATTTTATTTTTTAAATTTTAGCTTAAAAGTTATGTGGAAACCTGATATATCAGTTTAACACCTCGATGAAAAGTTTACGAATGAAAATCTTAAACATTATACGTATATAAATTAAAATATATATAAAAAAAAATCTGAAAGGTTTCAAATTTTGTTACCTTTATTTATTAAATATCACGTTCTACGCACTTAAACCATAAAATTCACTTCAAGAGCAATATCGCAAAATAGTTTTAAATTGAGCATATCTTTAGAATTTCCGGATACAGAGTCTGGCGCGAAAAATGTTTTTTCTGCACAACATTGCCATGGCTCGCTTTGAAATCCCCGAGTTTCTTAATCAAAAATTCGTTAAAGTTTTACAAAATATGAAATCGATAATAAAACAAATTCCAAATTTGGTCTTCCAGATGCCCATATTCGTAGAAGGATTACGTTATTCCAAATTCGATGGCTCTAGGTACCGTTGTTTTATCACAATGCGAGAAATATACATACATTTATGCAGATATTTCATTATTCAATTTCTTCAAAGATAATGCAGGATTCTCACATTGGGTGGCAATAGTTTGAAAAGTGAAACGGACATTTATGGTGAACCAACGCAAAATCGCAAAACGAAAACAATAGTCCTTCAGGGACAAAGCCCCTTTGGAGTAAAAATTATATAAATATTCATCATTATACTCATTTCAACTTACAAAACAAAACATTCAGTGTTGAATAAAATTAACATTCGATTTATAAACTATTCTGTTTAACCCTTAAATGCATGAATTTTTATTATTTTTTTAATTTAAGTCAAAAATACAGTAGAATTGATATGAAATAAAATAGGCCAAAAAAACTTTTTTTTTTTTTAATTTTTAGAAATTCGTAATTTTTTTTTATAAAATAGAAATTTTCAGCTTAAAATACCATAAAATGAATATCTTTCTTATTAAAACATTTTTGTTTTTGGAAATATACCTCTAAGGCTCTCAGTTACGCAAATAAAGGCCGCGTGTGTGTGTGGGGGGGGAGATTGTTTTACATATATTCTCAATTTTTATTCACATATTTTCTGAACACACTAGCATTTTCACTGATTTATCTGTTGAACAAAATCTGTATTTCTGTACTAAAATTTCAAAAATCGAAACTTTTGTCGTTTCAATTGACGTCGATTTTTTGGAAAACACTCAGACATATATTTTTCATACATAGCATTTTCCAACATTTAAATTTTTTATAATTATTCATAAAATATTCACAAAATATGGATGTTCGACTTTGAGAGAGTTTACTGCATTCGAACCATTATATTATGTTACACTACAATGGGTTTGTCATATACGCGATTCTGTACTAACTATTGCTATGAGTAAAACGATTGAAAGCAGTACATAAAAAAATAAAGGTTTAAAATGGAATAACGCCGTGTTTTTTTAGACAAGAACGTTTCTGGACAATTTTGTTTTCATGGCAAAAAGATATTTCAAATTGCCGATAAAGACGTTTAACGATGATAACAATATAATATGCAAAACAGACTAGATGTATTACTAATGAAAAATTCCCTGCGAAGAACTTGCATCGGTCCAACTAATAATATTTATTTAAAGATATTGTATCTTCACATTTCCCAGTTGGCATCCTGTTGGCTGCCAGCATTCTGATAACACTTGTAACAACATGTCACCATAAGCTCTAGCCGGAATACTTTATCTAGCCACTGGCGATAAAATTCATCTCGAATAAAACCTAGCTAAAGCAGTTTAACTCTTTATAAATATCTGCAAATTCGATGCATTTTATTCTGAACTTAACTCTGGCAACGCCGACAGCATGCTTCTAACAGCTTTCTGTCTCCTTTTTGCCGCATGTGGCACATCTGTTGTTAAATCATCCATAGACTATGATGATTCCTATTCTGATGAAGATTCGCAAGAAAACAAGCAAGATTTTGCTCATTGCGACTCGTCGAGCAATTGTCTTCGACCGAACTGCTCCTGTTTTGGAGCTGTCCCGCTTGATGGTGATTCGAAGCGATTGCCCCAGTTCATCATGCTGACCTTCGACGATGCCGTGAACACTTTGAATGTGAAGACGTATCGTCTGATTGGAGATGGAAGGAACAATTCAAACGGTTGTCCCATCACCTCCACGTTCTTCGTGAGCCACGAATACAATGATTATGAGTTTGTCAACGAGATGTACAACAGAGGACACGATATCGCAGTCCACTCTATAACGTAAGTTACTGCATCTTATGTTTATATGAGCACCGAAAAGCAAACAAGAGAAAAATCCTGGGAGAAATACTTTTGTGGCACAGTTCCTTAGAGGAACTGTCTTGTAATAGGGGGACCGGAAAGTAATGTCGCTTTCTTACATTAAATTTACACGTTTAAATTATAAATTTTTAACACGTTTTTATTTTTAATCAATAATGTAATCACCCTCGTTATCAGCAACCTTTTGCCATCTAGTGTGCAGATTTTCAATCCCCGGACCGATATAAATCAATTGGTTTTTAAGTAAAATATCTCAAGATGGCATTTTGGACATCATTCAAATTTTCAAATTTTTTGGCACTAAGAAAATGTTGTAGGGATCGGAATAAATGGAAATCCGAGTGTACGATATCGGGCGAGTATGGTAGGTGATGCAGCAACTCCCATCCCAATTCATTCATTTTTTCCAGTGTCGGTCTTGCATTGTCGTGTTGCAGAAAGATGCTTTTTCTATTGACAATCGCCGGATATTTTTCGATTAAAGATTGGTTCACTGGATCCAATTGTTCACAATAAACATCTGCATTAACAGTTTGTCCAGATTTCAGCAATTCAAAATGTATTCATTTCAAATTATGTATTCATTTCAACAATGTATCATTCCAAATTTTGTATTCATTTCAAATTATGTATCTGTTTGCTAATATCAATAAACGGCTGGGATCACGTAGTGGGGAGACGGCGCTAAACCAATTAACCAAATGGTAAAGGTGTGGTGCCCGTCTTCCCCGTTCCTAAATCCTAAATTCTAAATTCAAAATGAACAATTCCGCGAGTACTACACCAAACACACAGAAGCGCTTTTTTGGGATTTAAACCCTTTGTAACCCTTATTAAAACTGACTTTTGCGTTTTGGATTATCATATAGAAACCATTTTTCGTCTCCAGTAATCAAACGATCAAAAAACGGTTCTGTAGGGTGCCGTTGAAGCAATACGTTGCATGTGATGGATCAGTTGGCTTTGTTCTCTTCGGACAGATTATGGGGGGACTTCAACACCTGCTTTGCTTATTTTTCCATTCTGCTTTAAATGTTCTTGGATGGTCGACCAAGGTTGGTTAAGAGTGTTTGACATGGATTTGCTTCCACTTCTGCCCTTAGCATGTTGTTGTCGACATGCGCAGAAACGACATTACTTTCCGGTCCCCCTATTATTTGTGCACACAGGGTAACCGAGAAATTGTTCGTGCAGACAGACCATTTGTTGGGATTTAAAACCGAGTGACGACGGAACAGTGACAATTCGACAAGGTTTCGAATTCCAGCGAATGTGTTTCTCCACGCGTAATATAAACACATGCAGCTTTCTCTTAGGAAATCTTTTACGAAGGTATTTCTGCCCTTGAGCTGATAGCACTCGTGAAGGCCAACAAATTAGCAAATACAGTATAATCAAAATAAGTCGCTCATGATAAAATGGTAATTCAATATGCTACTTAGAGCATCGGAGAGAAATGATGGCATTTTGAACCTTACACAAATATATTAGTTAAAACTATTTTTATTATTGCTTCCTAAAATGCTTCATCATCAGTCTGCAGCAGTTAATTTATTTTATTTTAAACTCAACAATATTGTTGAAATAGGTGGCAAAAAATAAAGAAATAAAATAAAATGAGAAATATCTGAGATTACAGTCTTACACCGTTCTCTTCTTCAAGGTCAATCTTTACAGATTTCAGCTAAAGAACAATTAGCAATCAAAAACTTATGGAGTATCCTCTCCTTCTTTCTACATGCCTTCATGGTGTAATGGTTAGCACACTCGGGCGTGTATTCGAGAGGTCCAGGTTCGAGTCCCGGCGAGGGCATTGCTCATTTTTTATATTTCCTGCTTCAAAATAACTTAATGACTCTACAAACATTAAAAAAAATCAAAAGTGCAAAAACAAAATCATATTGAAAAGGATGTTAGAAAGTAGCTGTTGTTGCTTTTAAGCAGTGCATTTTTTTGGTTTTCAGAAGACAAAATTCAGCAGCATCTTAAGATCTTGGGTTTTTTATGCTGATTTGTAACGATTTAGCAGAGATTCATACTCCCGATCGATTCGTACAATACATAACTGAATGTGGATGGTGATTTATATGCCAAACCGTTCGCCAGTTTAACTCTAATAAGCTTGTGTTGGAGAGGTTTTCAAATTAAAAATATTATATTTTTTAAGTAAAAAATAAACAATTCGGAATATAAAACCGTTTCTTTTTAAAACTAAAAACTTTTTTTTTACAAATTTATCATAAATAAAGTTTTAGGACATGGTTTTCAAAATTCGATAAACTTAAGTTTCGATACGTTTCGCTAAACACACCAATATAAAATTTAAAAATTTTAATAAAATTTTATGGATTTCGAAAGGCGATCAGACGCCATGGACCTTATAAGAAATAGACTAACCCAAACGGGTTTTCTCCCTCGTCTGAGGCGTTGGCGACTGTCACCTTGATCACATCTGGAGGAGTAGGGACGACTTGCAGAAATTTAACAGTGGTTTTCTATTGCAGCGTGTATAATTGTCAAGAAAAAGCTGGTTGTAGCGCCTCATTTCAAAAATTAGAATTTCTACATATTTTTAATTTTGAAATTGAGATTGATTTTTAAAAATTTAGCATATTTATCAAGCATAATTAGCGTTCCAATAATTATAAGCTATTGTATGCTTTCAGGGCGGGATATTTTTTTAGCTTTTCCTATGCTGTAAGGAAATTTGTAACTACTTCTTTTAGAAAATAATATTTTAAATCTGGACTAATAGAAAATTTCAAACAATCAATTTTCTCTTGCAAATTTTATGCTTTTTATTCGTGTAAATAAGTAAAAAATACTAAAATATTTAAAAATGAATTTTTGAAAGTTTTGTTTAAAATTCTAAATTGTGCTGCTATTTTAAAATTATGGATGAGTATTATAGCACAATTTCTATAAAGGAATCTTATTTCAAGTATATTTCATAATACATAATAGTGATAAACACTTTTGACTCCTTAAAATTTTTATACATTTAATTCTAATATTAAAATTGAATTTAACGGTAATAATTAATTTTGCCTGTATTTTATAGTGATTATTTTTTTAATTTATTTTTAGTTCTGCACAAGATTTTTTTTATTTACTGTTAATTTAATTTATGAGCCCAAAGGGGCGGTAGCCTAGAAAGGCTGTTAGTTTCGAAGCGGCATTTTGCGCTGTTTTATTATAAATGTCCGCGTCTCCTTGCAAATTATTGTTACCAAATATTATCGCCCTGTATTATATGTAAAGAAATTAAATAATGAAAAATCTGCATGAATACATGTATGTTTCTCGCACTGTGACAAAAACGACAGTATCTAGAGCCATCAAATTTTGAATAATGTAATCCTCCACCCGATCATGGGCATCTGGACGGCCGAATTTCGAATTTGTTTTAATCTATTTCACATTTTGTAAAACTTTAACGAATTTTTGATTAACAAACTCAATGAGTTCATAGCGAGCACTGTACGGAAAATAACAGTTTTATGTGGTTTACGGGCGAAGAACATGATATTCAATAAATATAGCTAACACACAAAACTTTTAAAAAAGTTTCCTTTTGGGCGTAATATAAAATCTGAGTGCTTCTAGATTTTATTTTACCTTTTTTTCCCTTCATTGCGCTCAGAAAATTTTATGCTCCGAATTTTATGAATTATTAAAATAACTAATCCACTTTAATGTTAATAATTTAATGATCATATAATCAAATAAATATGATCGTTTTTTAATGTTATTATAATTTGGAAAATCACTGCCTGAAAATGTTCATTAAATTAAGAAAAAATTATAAGAGCTTGTTTAATTTTACCTTATTTATTTCAAACCATCGCGTACTATCAATCTTATTTAATTTTACTTTATTTTTACGCAAAATTAAGCTCATAAAAAATGCGGCGAAATGCAGTAAAAAGTGCTTTAATGAAATATATTAAATCCTATTTGGAAAAAACTGTGGCTTTCATAATCTCATCACTATACAATTTATCACATTTAATAATTAAAAAGAGTTATGTGATACAAACGCCATAGGTTTCAGTGTTAAAGTAAATCAGATCGTCCCTACTCTTTCTTGCCGACATGTCGGTGACGCGCGCCCCGCCCACTGGCTTAGTCTATCTGTTATAAGGTCCATGTCAGACGCATTCTTTTCCAAATGCAAACAATTTCGCAATATATATATATATATATATATATAACTGCTCGTAAAGAGAAATAGAACGGTGGGGGAAAAATGGGGGGTGGAACTGCTTGCCTTCCATTTTCATAAAAAAGTGAAGTATTTCCATTAAATTAATTCAAATGTAAGAACAAAATTTAAAGAGATTTTAATAAAGCATTCATCAGAATATAGGCTGTCTCGACGCGACTCGAAAGAAAATAACGCAATTTATTTATTTATTAGCCTTTTGGGCTAATATCTCAGAAGAGCTATTAATTTCGTTTTGGCATTTTGTGGTTTTTCACTATAAACGGCGGTTCACTTTTCAAATCGTTGCCACCAAATATTTTTGCGCCGTATTATACTTAAAGAAATTAAAATTTTGAATTTAAAATTAAAATTTTGTCAAATTTTGAATAATGTAGTCTTTCACCCTAACATAGGCACCTGGAAAGCCAAGTTTGGAATTTGTTTTATTAAAATCTACTTTATATTTTGTAAAGTATTTATGAGTTTTTTATTAAAAAATTCAACAATTTCAAAGCGAGCAATGGCAACACTGTACCAAAAAAAAAATCATTTTTATTTCCAGCGCGCGAGACTGTGTATCGGAAATTCTAAAGATATACTCTTTTTAAATTATTTTGTGATGTTGCTGTTAAATTGAATTTTATGTTTTAAATGCGAAGAACGTGATATTTAATAAATGAGGTGACACACAAAACGTTGAAAAAAAAAAATAAAACCCTTTAGGCTTAATATAAAATCTGAAAATTTTCAG